ATACATTAATATAAAAAACGATTATTAATGCCTGTTATTTTTTCTAAGTTTTAAAACTTCTGACGCGAAAAAAATTAGGAATCTGGAAAGATTATGAATTAAACCAGGAACTTTCAAGAACATTGTTTGAGCTCCTTGGTGCACCACAAGAAAGTTCGGACTGGCAGAAGAAAGGTCACCGTCAAATGAAAAATCCAAAGTCCGAATTTTTTGACGAAAAGAAAAGATGAGACAAACAAATGATAAGTAACAATGTTAAAATGCGAATTTTTTTAAAAGTTACATTCTATCAATGGTGGTTTGCGAAAGCATCATCAAGATTTTCATCAATAATTGCTAAACGTTCTTGTGCATATGATTCCCACCGATTTCATTAATGGAAGACAATAGCGAGATCAGTTGTATAACTATCGCACAGTCAAGTATTTCGTAACTTTTATTAAATGGCAAATTTCATTATTTGATTAAAACTGACGACAATTCTGCTTTATGACTATATTTTTGATCGAATTCAATTTTGTAGGTTTTGTGTTCGCATACATTTTTCAATTTTGTTTACGCATACTACGTGCATCGATGCACTTACTAACAAAATGCAATATTCACGGTTTAAGAGCAATTAAGAATTTAATTGAATTGAACTAGCACTGACCGAAAAAATAAAACCTCAGCGTAGAACCGAGCTTGAAGAATCTTACAAAAAACTCTGAGTTATAGAATTTAATGATACATTTTTACTTTTACATGACTTTGCTCTTGGGCTAAAGAGCGATTTCACCTGAACATAGAGCTGCATGAAAGGCATGAGCGATGCACGTCAAGCGGACCCTGGATCGATATCCAGGTCTGACGTGTCAAGTCATGAATATTTTACCATCTGTTTGCTTTACAAATGAAAAATCTTTACTTGTCCCTTATGTACGGAATCAGTACTGTTTTAATCGTTACAAAACCTTTCCTGTCATACTTTGTGGAACAACAGATTAATTATAGGTGATTTAGATGTTTGAAATAACAAGAAATGATAAAGTATATTTTCTAAGGAATTCATTCGCTTTAGTGGTTTTGCTGTTTTATTCTGTCATTTGTGGTGCTGTGCACTCTTTATTTATACAGGGTGATTCAAAATTGCCGTCATTCCTTTTAATGAGTAATAGGGACTCACTTGTAGTACGAGAGAATATTGAACAATTTTTATTCCATAATTTCTTGAAGATATTTAACAGAACAGTTAAAAATCGAATTTCAAGTTTGTTATTAAGCATCTAGCAAATAGCAAATCTTACAGTACGATAGCAGAAGCTGTAAGAACTCACGCCAACAAAGGGTGAGAGACACTCACAAGAGATTGTCTCCAGGAAAATAGTTGACGACAGTAGATATTCGGGTTCCAGACACAGAGGAACAAATATTGGACACAATTGCAGCAGAACCTTCCAGGGGTACTCAGAGCAGCATAACTTACACTTTCCCACCTTTAGCACCAAATAAATACCGAGGAAGGGCTGCATTCCTACCACGTATGTAAGATACACATAGCACAAGGGCACATTAAACCAATCTATTACTGAACAACGGTGCAAGTTGAGCAGGCGCTAATTGACCGAATACGAGAAGCTGCTCGAGAAGAGTGGATAATAAGAAGATCACACAGGCACCAACTTGTTTCAAGTTAATGACTCAAATGATGTTCATTTGTAAACATAAATTCGAGGTTATGAGGACAATAATTGACATTTAGAAGTCGAAGACACTCGACACTCGACTATCAACAAGTTCTTTGAGCTGGCTTAAAGCTGAGTTTAGTGAATTTTGGTAAAAAAATCATGTTGTTGGCGAGTTATTTGATAAAGACCATTTGGAAAAATAACTTTGAACCCTTGTATTTCTGTTTCGCTGACTTTTCTTCAAACGCAAGTTATGCTAAATCGTATTATTTTGACCTAATTGAGAAATAAATTACAATTTTTTACAATTAGTTACGGCATACCCGGCATAAAAGTATCATTAAAGGTATGGTTTGGCATTTCACTAGGCAAAAGTATATTTTAACTAATGTGGAAGGAATAAAACATTGTTTCTTTGTTCATTGTTTAGAACGTTATTTCAATTATTTTTGATCATCGAAAATTTAATTTCTTTTTCTAATTTTTGCGATAGTCCATATCTAACATAACTAGATACTAGAAATTATCACAGTAGATATGCGGATTGCGCTATTTTCATATGCCTGACGCAGCCTCAAATAATTATATTTGTGTTTAAAATATCTGAATCGCATTTTGGAAATATACACCTAAAACATCTAAAATCAAAAGAATATTTTACAGCCTAATTCAAATTTGAGCACAAGAATTCAACTTCGGTCTTTCTTATTTACAAGGTATACAATCAGTTTGTACAGCTATACAAATGTCTTTTTTTTTTTGAAAAACTGAAGCAATTAAAATCCCATTGACATTTTAAACTGAAAAGCAAGCAGCATTATTCATGAAAATAATCCTACACTTATACAGAAATATTCAAAGGGATTGTCTAACTAAAAGCGGAATCGAAACCAACAATAACCGCAAGAAAGACGAAGAGTGTACCGGACGTATAGCTTCGGGCAAACTCCCGGAGTTCTTTGAATTTTCGTTTGCAAAACGCCATGGGCGACGCTTTAGTTATTTTAAGGGGGAAATACGCTTTGTCTCTTCCGAACATAAATTGCTTTTGAAATTGTTTCCTATAATACCCCCCCACGTGTTGTAATACTCCGTAGACAATGTGTAAAATAATAGTTAAATATAGGTAGGTACTCAAGTTTGCTACGTGCATATTGTTGATAAGTTTCTTCGGAAACATTGCCAAAGCAGTTTTTCACGCAGTATCCGCCAATGTAAGTTTCTTTTGCGGTATGCAAATATTTTCCTAGTTATTAATAGAAAATATTTATTGTTAATGGGACACTATATATATTTTCCCTATTGCACTTCAGCTTGCAGGTACCTTTGCAAACATGTATAACATTCTATGTTTTACTTAATCATTCTGTTAAATATAGAGATTTAAAGTTTTTTCAAGTTTAAATGACTACCGCCAATTTAGCAATAAAATACAGTTTAAGAAAAAATATATACCGTTATTGAAACAGTATATTCAACTAACAAGAACAAAACACACCCTTTCAATAGAAGTTCGAACTGTCTACCGCTTTCCCCATTGTATAGAAGACACCTTTGCTAAACATTTCCTGAGAAGTAAATGAGTTCAATGAAGGGGAGAGATGCAGATTCTTGCATTACTGGTATTTGTAACTCTGGTATAGAGTTTGCAGGGAATTTTAAAAAGAGGTTTTTCAATCTCCACTAAAGGTAATAGTCCTAGCTGTTAAATCCGGTGACTTTGCCGGTCAGCGAATAGCATCTTAACCGATCCACTTATTACCAAAAATTTCCGACAAAAATGTTTGACTATTGCAGCGCTATGGGATCGTGCCTCATCTTGATGGAAAATATGTTCGCCCGTTCCGTAAACAGCAGCACATCAACTAAAGGTTCTACTTGCTGCCTTAAAATATCCAATTTTTTTTGTGATATTAGAAGACCACCAAAAACCAATGGAGCGATAGTTCCATGTCTGAAAACCTCTGCCTACGCATCAAACCCAAATGTTGCTTGATTTCTCTGCTCAACAACTGAATGAAGATTATGTTGTGACCACGTTTCCTTACTTACCACTACTTACATATGCATCATCTGCCCAAATACAATTCAACGGAAAATAGTGCACTTTTCCAGGAACCAGCGGCAAACGTTCATTTGGCCACCAAAATCTCCAGGTCTGAGATGGTGAACTTTTCTACTTTTAAACGGTTTGAAATTATATTTTTGAAAAGTTCGACTAACGGTAGTTCTTGACAGACCGATTCATACAATTAAATTTCGCGTTGATGTTTTGGTATTATTTTGAACTGTTCCTAATAATGATATTTCTTCTAACTGTCTTCTACTTCTTCCCCTATTTGATGATATCTTTTTGGTCGATTCATCTCAAATTTGTCCATAATTTTTTAGATGATATTGTAATCTTGCGAAAACGTTCCTGATGGTCTTCTCTCTGGAATATCCCATTATTTTCATATTTCATTTCAGAATAATTTCGTTATTTCTAATAAAACTCACAAATAAGCAGGATCTATACAGCATTAAGAAAAACTTTGACAACTGCCATTACTGACATTGACATTTGCCTCGTCATTCAAAGCCTACTTGTTCAAAGCGCGCACACGCAGTCTAGACTTGAAATAATTAACAATTAAACCTCTATATTCGATTGAACAGTTGAGCAAAACCTAGGTTGTGCTATATTTTTGGAATCTATTTTCCATTAACAACCAGAAAAATATTTGCTTACAGCAAATTAAATTTACATCATCGTGAAAACTGCTTTGGCAATTTTTCTTAAACTTAAACGTTAAAAAGATCACAGGAAAAGAGTTAGATATTATTTCCAAAAATGATGATCTTTGTAATAGACGCTGTACCTCTCAAACTGTTAGTGATATAGACACACAGTTTTCGTCATTAATGTTGTCATAAAGATCGAGGCTCATGCACCGACCTCAGTTTTTGTCCATCTGGTATAGGAATGGTAGTTTCCATTTAAAAGTGCCCAATTTGACCCACCCTGCACACTTTCGATTTCAATAGAACGATTTGCACTCACCCACAACCCTTCTTATAAAAACACGGTTACCCTTCGAGCCGAATCGAATATTCTAAAATTAACTGGACACGCACGCAAAAAAGCCTTCTATTCTCATAACATTTCTGGGCCCAGAAGGCTCTCATAAATTACCCAAACCTCCCCTATTCCCCAAGCATCCCCAACGGGCCCCGCCCACATGGCCAATTCGCCGCCAATGGAAAACTGGCGTCGCGGCGCCGTTACGTCGGAGCGTCGCCGCCCCAAAATTGACTTCTTGTTGACCTGGACGCTCATTCCAACGTCTCACCTGGAGGACGCCGCGTCGCGTCACAAACACCGACCGACACCATCAAAGTGTACCTGGGGGTCGTAATCGTGGCTTTGAACGGGGAAAAGTCCGCAGGGGGGCCTACGCAAGGGTCCTTCCACTTCTTTAGCGGACGAGGGGTCAGTGTTACCAACATTCGCGGGTTTTTTACCAGCAGAATTGGATCTACAATACCTGATTCGGGTGAGTGTGACACGCGCATGATCCTGTTGGTTTCACCATTTTTATCTTGTAATGAAGATTCCAAATACCTTCATATAGAATGAAAATGTAGAATAAAACACATATAAAAAAGTAGTATTTTTTGGCATCCCTTAAGACGGCAGAAAGAATTGAGACACCGAAAAAAAATCGTCTTAAAAAGGACGTTTCAATAGATTTTTGTGGAACATCCATTTTTACCTGACAAAGCACAGAGAATGTGAATAAACAATGTTTGGAGCTTAATCTAAAATCTTCGGATTTCAAAGAACTCGGAATCCTCAACAATAGAAAGCAATATAACAACACATGTATACGTTGCTTAATTCAGATGAATAACGAATATTGCGCATTTGAACTGAGACAGTTGAGAATTGATCGTTAAATTTTGAAATCGATTCAAATATGGCACCATTTTTACCTGCTAAAAATAATTTATGAATAAGTAGCAGACTTTCCTGATAAGATTACAACATGTACTTCTATGCAATATAATTTTAGGAATGTGCAGGATTTTTTGGAAATTGACGCCATTGATTTTAATTTGTTTCTAGTAATAGGTAAGGATGGCAAAGAAGGAGGAGAAAACTTGGGAATTGTTGGCTTTTTAGTCTATTTATCGAAAACATCGAGCATTTAAAGGCAAATTCGGAATTTACTGTAAATAATTCTTGTAAAATACTCCAAGATTTCATTGACAACATTTTTGGAATAGCCAAACATTGCATTGGAAAATTTGCTTCCATTTGCAAAATTATTTCTACCGGAAAATATTTCCTTATAGATATTAATGCAAAATTAAAAAAAAAACAGCTTAAAGGAGAAACGCAGAAACACGAAGTCCTAAACTTCTGTTTTAATTTCCAGTCATATCGGAAATACCTAATTTGCTCTACGCCCGAATATTTTCAAATTAAGACATTTTTCAACCAACTAGTGAATTAGAATAGTTGGAAATGGTTTTTAAGCTATAAATGATCCCGTGTACATTTTTTTTCAATATTTTTATTTGAATCGGTTATTGTTTACAATACGTTGTAATGTTATTCGAAATATTACCAAACTTGTGGGTATTAATTATTATCTGTATTTCTAGAATCGCGTATTGGAGAAAGAATAAAGTATATAAAAGTAAAGGGGGACTAAAAAGAATTTAAAAAATATGTTTCGTATAAAACAGAAGATTATTTAATCAAAAAATTTTCATATTAGTCTTCACGCTGTATGCGAATCCCAGCGTTGTATTATATTGTACAATAATCTCATAAAGAAGAATGGCAATGTGGTTCTGTATTTCTAAATTATCTTGAAGCTTTACAACTTGGTTACTAATTCGTAGTTTGTGGTGGTTTACGTAAAAAACTTTAGCGCTTTTGAGCACAGGTGACGGTAAAATGCCGAAAGGAACAAACTTATTTTGTAGAAACCATTTTTCGGCATTCAGAAAAACCGATGAAATATTTCGGTTTTCATAGTGGAAAAACTGATTGCAAGCAATAATTTTATATGCGCCGTTGAACGCGTTTCGTAACGAACAAGCTCGTATGGATAATAATTATATATATGTAGTACGAATAAATTCTACTGAAAACTAGATACTCACCATTTTACTTTGCCCCGCTCTTAGTCTTATTTACCATGTTGAAGCCTGTAAAAAGAGACATAAATTTTAATTATGATTAAACGACGTAACATTCAAAAACATCAGTGCTAGATTTACAAGGCAGTTCAACAAAATCTAATGTTTTATTAAATATATATTTCTCTGCTGATTACAGCTTTTCCAAAATTTTCGCTTCCACACAGAAAAAAATTATATATCGTCCTTTTTAAACCGAAAATTGACAATATAAAGTTATACAATTTTGGATCAGAGGCGTTTGTTTTGAAGCTCGAGCTAAGGCGGTAGCGCTCGTGACTCTATTCAAGTCATTATTAAATGACTAATGATTTTTCAATCAGAAAATAATTCGTATTTTGTATTTTTAATCCACCATAACGATTTTTTCTTACTCTTACCATCAAATTCGGTAATCATTCACACTTGCGTCCACAATATCACAATAACAGCATTAAAACGACTGAGATAAGGACATTTTTGGTTACCAGTAAATCGAAGTTTCTAATAAAGATATATAAGTACAGATGGCCAAACGAATACAAAATAAAGATTTATAATTATATAGTTTTGTAAAATTTATTTTATTTTATCGACAAAATATTAATGTTTGCTGAATTAGTTTATTTTAAATCTTGCAACTTACAAAACCCTGATTAATTTTGCTGGGAAGTAAGAACGCACAAGGTCTCAGATCTAGGTTCCAGTATATTTTTTACTCTAACTTTAATTAACCCAAATGTAACTAAATAATATGCGTAATTTGCATTACTATTCTTCTGATGGCTGCAAGTTATTAACTAACTGTCATTAATTTTAAGTAAATAAAAAAATGCGTTTAGTAATCTAAAAGTTGACAATCTCAACGCTTGGTATCTTATACTTTTTCCTTCTATTAACAGTAATTATAAATGTAATTGAAACAATAAAATACATAATTTGTACAAACACGTAATTCGGATAATTCGTTGTGTTAATCACGAACAATAAATACGCAGATCCGAATGAAAATTAATGGAAAAATGTGTTTGAAAATGGAGAAAATCAATATATCACATTTACATTCATGCTTCTAAAACTTCTATGGTAACAAAATTAATGTAAATCTAGGAGTGGCCTCATTCATAATTAGTTGGTGTGTCATATCTTTGAAATTGATACTACATGATTGATTAATTTCACTGAGTGCATTAAAGTTTCTTATTTAATTAGTTTTTGTTATATTATTTGATGCGATTGATTACGAAAAAATAAAATTTATTGGCGATAAGTGAAAAGTTATATAAAAAGAATGATTAACATTTATGTTATTATAAATATCGACATCTGTGAGTAATAAAACATTTCCTTTAATTCTTTTTCTGAAGGTATTAGTGTTAGTACAAAAAAAATTACTGCATAAATATTAAAATAACATTTTCAAATAATCATAAAACGGAAATTGTAAAACTAACCAAAAGTTCAATTATAAATGGAAAAATATTTATTTGCATAATGATCAGCATTCACAAAATAATATTTTCCTTTATTACCGTGATGCTTTTGCAACTGTTGCAAATTCCGGTTTACTGCTTCAATTCAGGTCTTATCGGATGAAAGCAAGTACAATATTTGCTACTAGATTAGTGCTAATCGCATCCCGAATCCCCTGTAATTACATGTAGTTGTAAACAATACATTCTAATTAACGCAATCTGCTTCAAAACTGATAAAATCGTTGATGTAACGAGCGCTGTTTGTTACATCAATATAGACAGCAATAACAAAAGTATAGAAAAGCAGCCATCAAAATAACAGCAGAATATATGAAAGTTACTGTCCCGGTTCCCTGGAAAATATATACTTTGCTGCGTTACAAAAATGTTACTTACTTGCTATATTTTCGTACAAGTTTTCAAATAGTAACGTCAAATTTGAAAAATAGTTAAACTATTTGTTCCATTTAGTTAAAAATGTATCCAGTAAACAAAATAACACTGTTCTCTAAAATCAGCAATTGAAAAGTATTTTAATGAATAAAATTTGAACGAATGAAATTTAAAATAGAATTTTTGCGCTTAGGGTCCTCCAAGTTCCAATCCACTTACGGGGGGCTGGGGGTATCAGCACAGTGCCTCCCCATGCCCCCCTTGTCATGGCAACGCATGTAAATCCACCTTTTTTGTTCAGGTTAAGGAAGACAAGGCACTGTGCTGAAACCCCAACAACCCCCAACGACAACAGCGCCCCTTAAGACAAGAGCTGGAGGGCTACCTCGAAAGACGACCGAGCAAGTGAAGAGTTTGGAAAAATCGCGATATCGGTAGTGAGAGCAAGTGTCTTATTGAACTCATGTATAAGGTTTACAACAGCAGTCTTCAGTGACGAGAAATTATGTGCTCTATAACTTAGTGTCTCCTGAATTAGTAATTTGAAGTAGTTCTCAAACGAAGCAAGATGGCTCCGATACCAATAATAAACCTTGAGTTCTCCGAACTCAAGGAGATTATTTGGACGAAGCTACAAGAGCCAAAGGCTCAAAGAAAGCTGGTGTTAGTGATAGTGTCGATTGCGTTACTGTTGGACAACATGCTTTATATGGTTATAGTACCGATTATTCCCGATTATCTTAGGTAAGTTTAGAAATGTTCATTTTATCATCGTTTCTTCTTGAAACTCAAATATATTGCCTGTAACAAAGTAGAATTTCCGTCGCAATTTTCAGCAAAAGCAACACAAGAATTGATATTCCCTTCTGCGTTTGTACCATTATTTTCAATTTGGTGAGTGAAAATTTGAAGAACGTTTCTTATTTAAGAATATAAATCACACAAAAAATAACATGCGCATGAAATGAGGTCCATATTTCAAAAGTGTAAAATTTATATTTATTACACTTTCTACACGTGGGTTAAACGAAATTTCCTCACACAAAAATTCCGGTCCCACAACGCGAAATAAATACCGCGAAATAATATAAAAATAATATATATAATAAGTTGATGTATGATGGTCATGCGAAAATCTGCCATTGCAATGTTATTTCTGTTTGATTGTTTCTTATTTTAATTCAATTCTGATTCCTTGTCCTTCTCTTACATTTGTTAAAAGAACCGACATTCGATTAGATGATTTAATATCATAATTGTTTTCAATTTTGCAACCTAAATTGAATTTGAATTAATTTCAATTTAATATAAATTCGCAATTGTAACACGGTTTAATTGATCTGAATTCCTGGGATGTCACATAGTCGCAACAATACAATTTTTTTTTAATGTTCATTTATCTTGCAGTTATGATGTGAAATTAAAATTTGAAAGAATGAAAATGAGCTCCAATCTAAGAATGGGGGCTCAACTGAATATTGTCAGATATTCAGTTTCAACAGATACGTTCTGATGAAACAAAACCTTCTTTAAATAAAAATAAATCTAAAGAATGGGCAGAACTTTTGAAAAACAAAAATTTGACTTTGAAACAAAAATAAGTTTATTCTTTCAAATTAGTATGTCCTTAAAACTATGTAATTTCTCTATACAATTGTACTAAGCAATGAAATGTACAAACTTCAATTTTGCATAATTAATTGAAACCTTCTGTTTTAATTTTCGATCAATATTTTTCATCTCAACTTTAACTTTTAAGCCTATTTCTGATTTGCATATTGGCCAAGTTAATTGCGTTAAAAAGTTTAATTAAAATTTAAAGTAATTTTATTACAAAGATTTTTCGTTTTTAATAAATGAATAATAGACTCAAGATAATTTGATTCAAACATTCAGATATCCATCTCTTATCAACATATATAACGGTTATTAACTATTACGAAATATTTTGGTAAGAACAGTTAAACATATACTTGGAATGTTATAGTTTTCCCCACATAAATTTAGTTTTTTATTGAAATGTACTTTTGTTTTTTTAGGGTTTGAACAGTTTCTCTATTAAAATTTATCTATCTAAATAACTTTAAGGACATTAATTAAGTTATTGAAACAAAAGTTGAAGCCATATTTTATAGAACGTTCCAAAAGCAAATAATGTTTAATATTCCATTTGTCCATAATTATATTTGGTACCTATTTTTACATATTAAGTTTTTTGATTGTTCCGTTGCTCTTGTTGAATTTAATCAAACGGCACATTCGAAAATACTACCATATAAACGAACGTTACCAGAGTGTACTTCGAAAGCGGATTTCGCGTCAAACTTTTGAAATGTTAAAATACCTAATAATTTAGTATCGCAACATTATTGTTGCATTTTAGTAGGAGAGTTGGTTTCAATATGCTTTTATTGTAAGAAGACTTAATTTTCTCTGAAGTTTCGAACAAAGGTGAATGCAAAAATTGATCTATCCTGATTTTATCGAATTTCCATACTTGCTAAATTATTCCTGAATGGCTTTCTAATATTTATTCAAACTAAAAAGGGGTTTTTCCTTCTTCTTATAATTAAAAATATAAAACAACTCGTTCTCCTGGGAATAAATTTACTTTACTTTGTTTTTATTAATATGACCTTACATTTAAAATACTTATCACAGTATTTCAGCAAGATTAAACGTTTAAAGTTTTATTAGGAAAGTCCGTAATTTTCAGTTGAGTATTGTTTAAAGGCAATATAATTGAGTTCAAATCAAGTCCATATCGGGCGTGGTTTCAAGTTTCAAGTGCTAAATGTTTTAGATACATCGGTGCATATGAAGAAGATCCCATTCCGGGAAACGTAACCCTGCCCCCCGGGACTCCTTTCAAACACAATCACCATGGCCAAGACTCAGCTACCGGCATCCTCTTCGCTTCCAAAGTAAGTATGTGTTTTCATGTGCACATGTTCTTTCCCATCTTATCATTTTCATTTTTCACCTATTTCTCTAGAACTTAATTCATTGTTATGCTTTGTCATTTTCAGGCAATAGTCCAATTAATGATAAACCCGTTCTCTGGAGCACTGATCGACCGCATCGGATACGACATTCCAATGATGATAGGATTATGCATTATGTTCCTATCAACGGCAGTTTTCGCCTGCGGAAGGAGCTACAGTCTCCTCTTCTTCGCCAGAAGTCTACAAGTAAGTACTTACATTTTTTTCACGTGTTAGGGCGGCTGGTTAGAAAGTTTCTGTGTAATTATAACGATTTTCTAAGCAAAAGGAACTGGTATCAAAATGATTGTGCAATCAATAGCTTTTGTCTTCAGTGAGGTTTCCTTCAGTAGAGGCGATAAACCAATGCATTTTGTTTTCTTTTTTAATTTTTTTTTATTCATGGACAATTGCATTTGTTTCAACTCATGCCAGAAAATAATTTGCCTACGAAACTGTGGAGGATTTGAGGAAAAATTTTGAATTGAATATATTACTTTAAACATTTTTACTGTATAAAATCTTAATTTTCATTAAATGCCAGTATTATTTGTTCAAGCTTATTCATTTTTGCTATTTATTTTATTGACATTACTCGATATCAAAGACATGAAGTAATTGGTGTTAATTGATCATGGTAGTAGTAGAAACAATTATTTGTTTTTATTTTTCGAACAATAAGATAAATTGTTTTGCAAATATGACCAGCTTTGGAGGTTACTGACTGGTAAATCCGTCATCAAATGAGCTTCAATTACAACACACACAAATGCACACAGTTAATGATCACTGCTTTCAAAACCGATGGCTTGCCTATACAATTCCATGTGAAGCTTGTTCAGCCCATGGGCGATTCTAATAATTTAAACTTGAATTCCATTTAAAAATTAACTTTATGTATAGTCGTCTGACTACTCGGCATGGCCGTTCGTCTGGACATTGATGAATTACATACCAGCCATATCAGAACTCTTAAATTATTTATTGTTGTAAAGAGTGTTTAAAACCCTGCAGCGCACCACACAACTTGAAGGTTTAGCCTATCAAGACACCAGGTGATTCTAACTTAAAGCATTTTCTTGATGTCTCGTATCGGAGTATAAGAATATTTGGAAAAGTTTTCTTTAAATAAATTATTTTTTATAAATTTCTTTAGAATATTTCAAAGTTTTACACTTTTGTGCTTCAATTGACATAAACCCTAAGCACTAAGTTAAATACTATTTTTTAAAAACTTCCTCAGCTTGGACCTGGACGGTTTTAGGCGAAAATGAGCAGCATTTGACGATGAAGATCAAGTAACTTTTCTTCAATTGCTAACACTGGAATATTATGTTATTTATTTTCTGAGAAAATTATCGGAAAGAGAAGTGATTGAAGAAACCCTAACTGAACAGCTATTTGCGGAAGCCATGCTGAAGAAGTGAGAAAGTTTTCATTTCAAAGTGAGAAAACCTTTAAGTACGTATCCCAAAGCACTGCTTCATTAATATTAAAGAAAATGCTGTGAAATTATTTCATTACTTTACCATTTTGGAGTCGTATTTTCTACACAGAATTTGAACATTATTTGTATTATTAACTAACTAGAACCAAATAACTTCGACCTCAATATATTTGAATTTTTTATTTGGTATTGTGCAATAGTAACTCCTTATTGGGTTTATCGGTCAATGGATAGTGGCAGAAAATGAAAACGCTATTTTTTCAGCTAACGTTTCGCTCCAAGCCAACCTCAAGGTTGTAGAAATGGTTTATAAAAAGTTGCTTCAGTTCAAAACTAATAAAAAAATTTTTATAGTCTTTAATTTGAAACGAAGGAGTACGAGTGTAGAAGGAAAATGAAATTTAAGGGACAAAGAACAAAACTAATATTGCTCAGGGGCAAATTTCAAAACATAACGAATAAAAAAGGTCATTCCAAAGTCATTAATATAAAACGATTCAGTAATCACAATATAAAACAAAAGTAAAATCGATAATAAGGGACAAAGCATATAGTGGCTTCACATTGAATACAAACAAAAAATTGTGAAAAAAGTGACCTTTGATATCCTAGAGACACGCAATCATAAATAAAGTTTCTGACCATGAAGTTAGTGTAATTTCTTTCAAAGGTAGCACGTGACCAGATGTAAGAGATCCAGCTGATGAGGAAATTTGTCTTTATTTATTTATGTATTTATATATTCGTGCAAGGCCTGTTTTTCAATTATAATCCCGGTCACCAATAACCACAAAATCGATATATAATTCAAATTCAAATTTATTAAACGGAAAAAATCCATGGCGAATTATACAA